AAAAAAGAAACAAAAACAAACTCCTTGAAAAAAGAATGCCACGCCTGCCGCAGGTGCAGGCGTTTTAGCATCGGGGGCGTTTTTTATCGGGGGGCGTTTTATCATCCTCGAAGGGAGGGCCTCTTAAAAAAATGCAGTGTTTTAACGTCCACAATATTTATGGTTTATGAGACATTTGCAGCGCACCAGAACATGGGCCCTGTTCATGAACCCCGGCGGTCGCTGCGGCCGCTGCGGCCAGCCGGGTTGTTACGTCACAAAAAGGGGCGGGGCTCATGTAGTATGACAAATGTATGACGTCATCTTGCTGCGGCCGCTGCGATCTCTGCGGCCGCAATCCAGCGACCGCCGAGCCGAGTTCAGTGGCCGAGCCTCAAGAAAACTAATTGCACTGAACTTGGCGCACTGAAGTCAAATAGGCGCAAGCCGTGTTGTCATGGAGACGATTTTGTAAACAAATTATCTACCGGTGTGCTTCAGTTGTAAACAATTGTCGGAAACTATTTCGGCAGCAGACGCTGTTCATGGAACGCTGCTGCGGCCGAGAGAGTGATGACGTTTCAAAAATGGGCGGAGCTTAGAGCCTGCGGCCGGCCGCAGCGGCCGCAGACTTCATGAACAGGGCCATGGTCTATTCTGAAGCTAACATTGTGACAATTTCGATGAGATAAGACTGCATTTGATAGCCATTGTTTTTTTCAGATATATAAGGGTGATGATGCATATATCTAGCAAGTAAAGGGGCAAAAACAGAAACAGGCTTACCAAAAGTCGCTGCGACGCACCTGATACCTCAGGTTTCGTGAGTTGTTGTTTCAAGAAGGCTTCTGCTTTACCAGAACATTAAAAAATAAATAACATTATTGGTTTGGTAAAAAAAAGCGATGGGGCCTCTTACCGACCCTGGGCGTCTTACACGGATCTCCCCTATACAAGCATTAGGTTGCTACTTGCTACTAACGGGGAATGATCATCACCGGAATTAATACGAGATATCCGTATTTCCTTCAGAGTTCGACAGATCACGTAATCGTCTCAGGTAGCCCGTATAAATTATAATTCGAGACAAACAGCTGCATACCTGGACCGGGAACTTTCTGTAACTCTTTGTCACTGGATAAATTCTGGTACAGAGCGATGTGAAGTTGCAGCATTGCAACTTCACATCGAACATGCAGAAGTTTCTTATTCCAAAGGATGACTAAATGTGTTTTTTTATATTTGGCGTTCAATTTAAACGATAGAGCGACTGCTCAATGGAAGCCGACCCTGCGCAAAGAACGATATAAAAACACTTCAGCTATTTCGGACAGACTTGCCAGGCCCATCCGCTCACCCAGGGGGGTTCGCTCCCGTGCCTTCAGCATTACGAAAAATGGCAACAACCCGTGAGCAGCATCAGCTGCTCACGCACATGTTCAGGGAAAACGACATGTAATGGACTGCTGACGACGGCTCTCTCCACCAATCAGCGCTCGGCATCTCGAGCGCTGATTGGCTGGTAGCAAACGCGTCATATGTGGGTCTCATTTTTTTGCGATCAGTGAACGCGTTATTTAATACACAGTGGCCTATGGAGAATGGCACGCGGAACTGGAGGTCAGTGTTTTATTGCTTCGTACATGCGAATGGGGGTATTTGAGTGGCATTTGACACCATTTTCGAAATCTACAGTGAATTTCTGATCGACTCATGTATATATTTTCATGAATTTGATAGTATTACTGCTACATATTTGGTGTTTTATGTTGGTGTTGTTTCTCTCGACCTTTGTCTTGAACTTTTATCACATCTTTTCTCGAAAATGCTTGCCATAACCAGGTCTAAACTGTATCTGTATAAAGGGAATATGTGTTGAATATGAGGAGAAAGTAGTAATGACCATTCTGCCTATCAAACTGCCAGAAGGTGTTCTTGTAAGGTGATTGAAACTGCAGTACGGGTTGCAGATGTGGGTTGACATTAGCATTATATTATTGTTGTAACCCCACTTGCTCTAATAAAATGGCAACATGGGGTTATGTACCCACTATTGCACAGCCTGGTATTAAGCTGGTTGATATGTGGAGGATAATGAAAGCATAAAAGCTTTTCTTAAGTGAATAGGAGCGTTGCGTCTTGTAACTAATGTCAAGTCATTTTAAATCAAATGATTGTGTGTGATTGTAACTTTTACTTCAATTATTATTGCTAGTTTTGACCTTTTTAATCATCAAGTTTTATGTGTACCAATTTCATATGCCTGTGTAATGTCTGGTGCGACTTTGTGCAGTGTGGTGTCTTGAAACAAACCAATTTATTTTGTACCTTTTTGTATTTCAACAAATGTAGGTATGTCAAAGGACAAAAATGTCATGCCTATTATCATTGACACTACTACAGCTAACTTTGCCTATATTCCTTTTCAGAGGCATTCAATTCAATCTGCTTTCCAGTGCAGTACCTAGGAGGCTGCAACTGAAACTCGCACAAAGGCAATCAAGTGTCACTTCATCAGCCTACAGTAACAGCCCATCTGTCATCAAGATATGGATGAAGGGGCATAGAAGAACAACTAGTTCAAACATGAAAAGATTGTATTTTGTTTTGGACTATTTCTTAGCATAACATAACAGTACACTTGCTGCTTTTTTATGTTTGCCCTGTGTGCAGTTTTGAATAATTTTAACCATGAGATGCTTTTGTCAACTATTATCTTTACACAAGCTTCCTTTGTCATGCATATGTGTAATTTTGAGTTTACATGCATGATGTAGGCACATTTCCCTTGGCTTCATAAAAGTTAAAACTACTTGCAAGCTTTGGTTATGGACATTGGTGCTATATATGATGCTTCAAATGTGTCCAGTAGTTGATGAGAAGAGGAGTAGGACAGCTGAGGCCTCTTGCACCAAACTACCTAGCTAGGTAAAATCGAAAAACCGGTTTCAGAATAAGCTAATCTAGCGGTGGTAAATTTGTTTGCAATAGCCCAATACATAATCCTACATGTGCTTGCTAAATTTTGCACTCAAATTGTTACATTTGAGACTTGGACTGGGTATACGATGCAAAATAATCCAAGCATTGGTGCAAGAGGATTTTGGTGCAAGAGGCCTCTGATAGCTATTACCAAAAGTATGTGCTTGTCTGCACTTCGGGCTGTTTTACTTCCTTGAGTTGAAAAACCCTCATCTTTTGTTTCTTTCCGGTGTGCCCATTGTTTCCGTGGTGCTATACATAAACGTCAAGTTTGAAGTTGGTATCCAAGTGAGCAAAATGTGTATTATTTCAGTCCGTCTTGAATCATTCGTCTTGAATTATATCCCTAACTGACATCCTGTTATTTGTCCTGCAATGTCTGTGCCTGTGTCCGCCCCAGGGTTGTGCTCGACTCAAAAAAATTTGCCGACTCGACTCATCATTCAACCTCAGAAAGCCCTGACTCAACTCTGACTCAAACAAGGAGCTGATTTTTTCCCCTTGACTCGACTCATGACTCAAGCGGCTCAATGAAAATATGAGTCGACTCAAACTTGACTCAAATTTTTTGTTGAGTCAAGTGAGTTGACTCAAAATTGACTCAGACAAAAAAGCCGTTGAGCGGGGGGGGGGTGAAAAAGTCCGGCAGCAGGGCCAGGGCGAAGTTATTAAGCGGGGGGGGGGGGACGGGGGGGATGAAAAGCTTGTTTCTGGAAAGTTGAGTCAGCTGACTCATGTTCCTAAATGTTTGACTCAACTCAATGTCAAAAGTTATTTTACTGACTCAACTCTGACTCAACTCAACGCCTTAATATTTTTGTCCGACTCAACTCTGACTCAACTCAACAGCTCAACAATTTATCCGACTCGACTCAAATCTGACTCATTTGAGTCAGAGTTGAGTCAAATTTCTGACTCGACTCATGAGTCAAGCACAACCCTGGTCCGCCCTTACCTCCGGCTCCAGCCTCCAACCAGCCCTGCTGAGCTCTGTCGCCGGCGCGGTGTGTCGCAACGTGCTGTTTCTCCACTCCAGCCGACAGCTGCTAGGAATCGTCCTGTGCCATGATGCGCCATGCGACACAGCAATTGTAAGCTGCAGGTCACATTCGGACTGATTGGCTCCGCGTATGTGCATCCGGCCGGGAGCTAGTCGATATCAGGGACGTGGGTCGGACTGTTGTGGCGGCGTACACTGTGCTGGTTGAAGTTGTATTTCTGTTAGTGAAAAGCATTAATACATAACCATGGCTGCAGCCCAATGTTATTGTGGATTTCAGAGGGAGTGGCCAGTCAGGAGGGCCCCATGTGGGTATGGATCCAGTGTCCAGTGGGATTGGCTAAGATTTCCGGCGATTGATAAACGCTTCTATGATAGTAAACCTATTGAGTTATGAGGGGAGGTCACGTGACGGACCTGACCTTACTAAACTCTTGTGAAAACACGACACATACGAACGGTAAGAAACCGACAGCTCTTCTTTCTGCCAAGTGTCATCTTTCTGTGAAGGATTTCTTGGCACTGAGTGTTCAGAAATGGCGTTGTTTTTGGACTGTGCAGAGGCTCACGAGCGACAACATAGGTCAACAACCTGACGTACCTTAAATATGCGACTTGTACCATAAGATCCAGCTTGATCAAAAGATAGGACATGTCAAATTTCATCTCTTTATCTCAAAAGAATTTTGAGCTATCGTAAAAACCGCCAGTGTGGCACCATATCGCCTCCCCGCGCGGTCGGAAGGTAAAAGTTCGCCGGCTCTAACTAAACAAATAGTCGTCGTATCGCAAATTCATTGACGGCGTTCGAAGCGTCGTTCAATTTACTTTCGAAACATATCCTAACATTACCATTTAACTGCCTAGCGCAATCACCAACAAGCAAAAGTTCCGCGCATCCCTCCTCATACAGTGTTAGCGGCGGCCGGCCGCCGGCCGCTGACCCACATTCGCGTCATCAGGGAATGCCGCAACTAATTTATTGTTTCCAACTTTTTTCCCGGAGCGTTCTACCTGGTTTATATAGCCTTGCGCTCACCTCAAGGCTGGGAGCCCCAGGCCCTCTCCGATGGTTTCAGAAGCAGCGACTGTGGACCGGCGCGTCCGCCGCTCACCGCGCTCTCACACTCGGCGCTCACCGTTCGGCGGCGGCGCGCGCTCACCGCGCCGGCACTGGTCCCGGACTACCACCGTCCGCCCTGCTGCCGACCCGGCGGCTGACGGGCCCGCCCGCCCCCCGCCCGGGGCACTCAAATGCCGCCGCCCCCGCCCGGACACCGCCGCCGGCCGCCGGCGCGCATCGCACGCCGTTTCTACGGTTTCCGTGAATCGATCGTGAAAACGGGCCGACACTGGCTCCCTCGGGCCGCTGTCAGCCTCGCACACGCAACAACGCAAAGCCGGGACACACGCGCGCCAACACCGCCGCCGCGGGGCCTTTGCCAGGACTGTCTGAAATGGAGCAAGTAAGAGCTTAGTGTAGTAAATCGCACGTCTTCCGGAAGAAAAGAAGTTGCGGGATGCCCACCAATAATAATGTAAAGATTAAGCGCCGTGTCTTTTGATTCCAGCAATGTCACTCACTGCTGTTATCTTCAGTATATTGCCCACTGAAGTATGTGTTGTGCCGCAGCGGACGGATAATCTGCACAATCCGAAGTCGGTGAAGGTGATGGGATAAACGTCTCGCTCATGACAGTGTTATGACAAAATGCAATGTGACTTTGGGAAGCCCCTTCGTGACCCTTTCGATTGTAATTCGCAAGAAGTGTGACCAAACCTACCAGGTTATGGCCATTGCCGCATAGCGACACATATGAGTATCATTTCAGAGCAATGGCCAAGGTTGTCAAATCACCGAATAGCTTCGGAGAAACGGTAGTGTGTAATGTGTATGGTGTCCGGAGTCCAGATATATTGATCTCCCCAACGGCAGACGCTACAGTCCAATGTAGGGTATATAGGACTTTGCTACAGTCTACTGTACCTACATACGGCGGTGAATGAAGTGGTGTCACTACGAGAGGAGCGCCGCTCGCCGGCCGGCCTCTCTGGAATACGAATGTGGACGGCCACCACCAAACACGTTATAAGTCTCGCAGGAGGATAAATATCTTACCCGAGTCGGCGGTTAGTAGCAGCCCCGCCTCCCTCGGTGGCCACATAACACGGCCTCCAAATCACCCGTGTATGGGGGAGGGTCCCCGCGTCAACCCCGTGTTTGGGGGGGGGGGGGCAAGGGAGGATGACACTTCACAGCGGCAGACAAGCGGCCGCCAGCAGCGTGTCAATGAGTGTGTTAGAAAGTGCGCCGTAGCTGCTGCACATAGAATAAATGGGCTAGATACTGTCCTCCACTCCGGTTTGAACTGACCCCATGGCGCTTTCGGGGTCTTCTAGAAACAAACTCCCAGTTCTCTCGTGATATAGAGACGTGATAATGGCATTTTGGACACCTGTCCGTGCTTCTATCCTCAGGATACTGAAATCCTTCTCCTCCACGCCACAACCCCCTTCCGGGCTGGGCAGGCAACTTTATCTCATGCGGGCTGCTCCCTTGGAGCGGCACCGCTGCTCCTGAGGGAGCGCACCCCGTAGCCGGGTGCAGTGAGTGCCTTGGGGCTGGGTGGCCTGTCCTCTGGACGGGCTCAGCCCCGGCGACTCACTAGGGTGCCTGCCCAGACCAATGTCTCCCCCTAATTCCTATCATCCTTCCGGCTCTGAAATGGTCTTGTCGACCGAAAGGGCCTAACCCAACAAAACAAACAAACAAACAAGCATTTTGGGCACAGGAAACTGAACGCTGTTGCTGCATCGCCAAGAACACGAACATTTTGAGACGAGAGAGATGTGCAAATGATACTCACGACGAACCACTAAATACCACTCAAATAATTACTAATTTCCACATAGCATTCGTAAAACATCACGAAAATGCCGCTCCGAATCCTCAATGACGTTCATTCCCCGCGGTGAAGGGGCGGCCGTTCTCTGCCCGCCGATACGGAGCAGCCGGGACAGCGAACTGGGGGCTCCCGGACGTCGGCCTGTTTTGATTGCGGCCAGCCAGTTGTGAGGCGCGTCCGATCAACAGCGGCGGCGCGCGGACGGAACGCGACCGTCTCTGGCCATCCTGGCTCCATTCACACAGCGGCCGAGACTGCGCTACATGGAGTTCCGATTTCCGAACCCTCTTTGTCAACGTCAAATTCTTTGTAACTTGGTTCTTCAATAAACGAAAAAAGCCCGAGCCCGGCACTCCCAGCACCCAGTGACACACCTCCGGCCCTGCCGAGCACAGGTCGCCGCACGGGCCGCCAGTCCGGCGGTCCGACCCCGCCCGCTGCCCGGCGGCGACACGGTGCGCTCGTTAGTGGTCCGAGCTCCGTCCCCGGTCATCCGCGCCCGGCCTCAGGCCTCCGCCCCTCCCCTGCCCCAGCGCTAATTAGCACGGCTGGGCCCGTATAGTGGTAGTGACGTGGGAGGAGCAACGTGACGGAGCCGAGTCGGACCTTCCGTCCAGCCACACGCACATCGCTGGCGGATACAGCGGTGCGTGGGAGGGCTCATGGAGGATATTTGTCGACAGGCAATAGGGTAGGCAGGGTGGGGGTCGGTGGTATGCACACACTTCCTAACCAGCAGGGCACTGCACTGGCTGGGGGCGATGCCAGCCAGACTACGTAAAAAGCCGCGCAAATCTTGTTGTGCACTGCGGACGTGCGCATGGATAAGTTAAGTGTAGGCACTGATGCTATCGTTCCCAATCGCATGACCACACCCAACCACCTTGCGAGCGCTGCACGTGCGGCTCACTGCACACCTCAGCAGCGCCACCTAGGGTGAGGCGCTCTGCAGGGATGCGCCGCCTGGGCGGGCGGGCCGCCCCACGTGATTCGCCAGGATAGTGCGACTCTCAGAGTTCAGACCTTCGACGAACACACCGCAAACTACGACCCTCACAGAGAAATATTAGATAATTTGTTTGATGTATTTAGGTCACCGTCGCAGCAAAATGAAATAGGGTGGTCGTTTATCTCTTTCCTCCGACACGCGGCGCCTGCTTGGGCATCGTCTTGGCCTTGGGCACCTTCATCTTCTGCTTCGGCGCCTTGGTCTGAAAGGAGGCAACATATCCACGCTCAGTCGTACTATTTTTTACTTGTTTGTTGGTATTGTATTGTATTGTATTGTATTGACAATTAAAACACTCTCCATATTAAAATGGCTATTCTGAGTGTCGCGTCTGAGTTAAAAGGGGAAAACGAGTTAAAATGCACCCAAATCACAGCACTCAGTAAACATATCGAACCATTCACTCATCCCTAAATACGTAAAAACCACTCGGAAACAGAGCGTTTAAAACTTCCCATAGAGAGGCTCCTAAAATCATGGGGCAGGCGATTATATAACTGGGCGATGCTGTAGAGCAGACGGCGCCTCACTGCTTCGGTCCTCACGCGTGGGAGAGCCAGATCAGTGTCCCGCCTTGTCGAGCGTGAGCGCAGGGAAGAGTTGGTCAGGATTTGAGAGGATATAGTCTCCGGCTCCCCAGTGCAGCGTATTTTGTGAAGGAAATTGAGTGAGTGGATTTCGAACAGCTGACGGGCGGTGGGCCAACCCAGTTCCTCTCGCACGTCCGATATGTGGTCAAATTTTCTTCGGCCAGACACAACGCGCAGCGCAAAATTGATGACTTTTTGGAGACGTTGTATGTTTTTGTCCGAGCCGTTTCCGTAGACCGAGAGACAATAACGGACGTGCGAGAGGACCAAGGCGCTGACCACAGTAGGCAGGAGTTCACTAGGGATGTGGTGACGCACGTGGGACAGCCCGATGAGAATACCGTTGCATTTTTGGACGAGGGCCGATACGTGAGAGTCCCAGGTGAGGTGCTTGTCAAAAATCACGCCAAGGTTCCTCACCGTAGGGCCCTCACGGATCGTGTCCTCACGGGACCGAATCGAGATGGGATCCAAGCCACGGCAATTTTGACGAGAGCCAAACATGATGAGTTCAGTTTTGTTAGTGTTAACTTTCAAACCGTTGGTATGAAACCATGCGTCAAATGAGTCCAAAATTTGTTCCAAAGTTGCAATGAGGTGAGGGAGGGAGTCTTTTTTGCCAGATAGTAAGATTTGAGTATCGTCAGCGTACTGCACCACGTGCGCCCCAGGGGCGTAGAGGGGGAGGTCATTGGCAAATATTTGGAACAGGAGCGGACCGAGCGAGGATCCTTGGAACACGCCGATAGGATTGGGTAGAGGATCGGAGAGGACTCGATTTCCTCGCCCGTCAGCTGTGCAAACAGATTGGGTATGGCCACGGAGGTAAGAAGAAAACCAGGTCGGATCGATAGAATAGGTTTGAAGTTTGGACAGAAGCTTTGTGTGGTCGATCACGTCAAAGCATTTGGAGAGATCGAGGAGACAGAGGAGAGTGAGTTCCTGTCGGTCGGTGGCAGAGAGGATGTGATCGGATACGGTGGCGAGCGCGGTTTCTGTGGAGAGACAAGAGCGGAAACCGTGCTGGGATGAGGAAAACAGATGGTTGCCAGACATGTAGGTGTACAGCTGCTGCTGAGCAACTTTTTCTACAAGTTTGGCAAAGGCAGGAACAATGGAGATAGGTCGATAGTTGGATGGATCAGTAGGATTACCGGCTTTGTGGATGGGGTAGACGATGGAGTGCTTCCAGGATGCGGGAAATTCACAAGTTGTGAGACAGGTGTTGACGAAGTAAAGGAGGATGTGACTGATGGAATCGAAACAGAGGCGAAGGATCCGGATGCTGACACCATCGGAGCCGGAGGAGGAGGAGTTTTTCATGGAAAAAAGGATGTATCGGAGGGACTGAAGGGAAATAGGTTTTAAGGAAAAGGCACAGGCACCTACCCTAGGTAGCCTGCAGGGAAGGGGGATGGGCTCCCCCCTGTCCCGGACCTCAGCCGCGACGCGAGGGCCGACCCCCACAAAAAAGCTGTTAAGTTCGTTGGGGGTGGCCTCAGGCACGATACGCTGAGTGGACCTCTTGCCCTCGATCACCTGCCGAAGGTTACGGAAAGTGGAGGCCGGAACCTGCCTCCTCACCCGGCTGGCAATGTCGTTTTTAACGTCACGACGTATAGCAGATTTTACTTGTTTGTCCAGGGTGAGGAAGGCAGGAGTCCGGCCCTCTCGGGCAAGAAGTCCACGGCGCCGTGCCATGAGTCGCAGGGTGGTGTCCGAGACAGGGGGTGCAGAGGGGTTGCGGATTTTGAGACATCGTAAAGGAGCATGAAAGTCAAGGATAGGTAGGAGTAGCTCAGTAAAGGCGGCCCACTGATCCGTCAAACCCACACGAGAGAAAACCGGGCTCCAGTCGGTGTGACAAAGCGAACGGTGAAAATCAGCGACATCGATGCGGTCGAGGCGTCTAGAGTTCACAATGGTGGGTCGAGATCGATGCTTTGGTATAGTAAGACGTGCTTTGATAAAAGAATGATCGCTATATGGACATGTAGAACACAAACATCACGGACTAAACCAACAAAGTCAGATATAAAGACATCTAAAAGCGAACCGGTTCTAAAAGTTGACTGGTGTTTAGGGCACGTCGATAGCGGGGTCATTTAACACCTATTTCTTTTCACAGTTAAATAATCACAGCTCGAGAGCTGATCGCCTTACCCGATTCAAAAATGGCATGGATGCAACCAGAATTTGATAACAGCGATTTCGATTCGTGTCATCGTTGTATGTTCATCGACTTCACGAGTACCCCAACTCCCAAGACATCTCAAAAGGTCAATAAAAAGATCCTAAAAAGGGGTAGGGGAGAGTGGGGATAACTGGGACGGGGGAGAAGTGGGACACCTACAATATCTGGATGACCAATTGGACAAACAATTTCGGTTTTGCATATTTTCTCGTGGATTTAGTCGGGGCACGTCACAACCAAGCGGTTCCCTTTTCCGGTTGCCTGTCTCTGAGATATTGAGTTGGGGTCTAAAATATGTTATTGGGCATTGTACTCTAATTCATTTTGCCGTTTATTCAGCGTTGTGAAATGTTCATGCCGTTCACCTTCGGACGTCAGTGAAATATTCTTAGTTATGCAGAAACATTTTTTGATGTATCTTTTATACTTTTTGTGTGGGAGACAGTTGAAATAAAAAAATGACGACTTGGGGAGAAGTGGGACAAAGTGCCTTAACCACGTCCCAGTTCTCCCGCATGCAAATGCATGGGAATATTTTCCAAGATACTCAGAGCTGTCAGTGTAGTTCAAATTAAAGATAATCGAGGTGATTTCTTAAAGTGTCAATTTTAAAACACCTTCGTGATGGGTCATGAAATTTTAGTTGTATTCCATTTAAATCACATTTCTTGGTCAGTCCCAGTTCTCCCTATCATTTGTCCCACTTCTCTTGGACGTGTCCCCGTTCACCCCATTTTCAACTTTTCCTAAAATTCAAATGTGAGAAGTAACACGCGAAGAAACACGCATAAAACAGTAAAGAATGTTAGGAGAAATAAACCGTTTACCAGTAAAGGCAATCAATTTACTTAAGTCTTAAATATTCTATTTTTTACGAATTTTCAAAGTTGTTGTCAAAATAATGTCCCACTTCTCCCCGGTCTCCCCTAAGCACACATATGTATTCCGCCAAAACTACAGCATACAAAGGCGACCTTTCGAACAGATTACGCAGCCCATGGCGGACATTACAGACAACCCTAAAACTAAATTCGATCCGTGCTGGAGAGCAGACGTCAGGAGAAACATCTAAAACGATATACAGGGTGTTCCAAAAGTGTGCCCCCTAACTTATATTGCTCATATCTCCAAAACCGTATGTCTTACGAATCGATAAGAGAAAGAAGAACGGTCAATTTCGGTACTAATAAGCTACCTAGTGTGACTCATTATGTATTACCTACATTGAGAACAGCCAGAACGAAATGTGTTGCGAGATCGGGTGAAACACGACGAAGAATAAATGAACGCACGTGAACTGAAATGTGCGGTCGGATACGAATAAGTTTTGACCATATCCGATACCAATCCGATACCGCTAAATGTTTCACCAAGAATTTGGTATTGAATTGCGCTTTTCAAAATGCCGGTCGTGTTGTCTAAGATATGTATGGGAGTAACGGTTGATCTGGATGGAATTTGATCGCTTTTTCTAATGAACGGCTTCCCAAAGCTGTAGATGCATGGTTGCAGAGATATAGTTAGGCGATCTTAGTTGGGGGGCTCACTTTTTTGGAACACTGTGTATAACTAAATATCAAATACAAGGTATATAATGGAAATCAGTTGATCAGTTGGAGTCAGTTTGCCTCTACTCAACAATTATCTACATCAACTTTGACGAATATCACAAACTTCGAGGAACTACCTACGCAGTTATCAGGGATACTGGTACAATAACCTGACTCTGGAGAGCGATGAGTTTTGAACGGCCCAACAAATCGGAGCCCGACTCGCAAGGTCGGGCGCTACCCGGCGGATATGCCATCGTCCGCCTGGGCCAGTGACTGTAATTGCCCAGCAGATTTCATTGATGTTACTATGGAGTTTCAGCCCCCCCCCCCTCTAAATTGATGGTTGATGACGTAATGGACGACCTGCATTAGTGACAACAAATGTTTATGCAGGACCTGTTCTAAGAGCGGTTTGAACAGGCATGCAGAGCATGCATCCGCGACTTTTGAAAGGCTTCTCTGGAACGCCCATGGTCCCAGCCCAAGGACGGACGGGGCATTACTCACCTTGGTCTGGGCGCTGGCCTTCGCCTTGGCCTGCTTGGCGGCGCGGTTCTTCTCCTTGGCGGCCCTGCGGACAGACACACGGGCCCAGTCAGACCCCGTTCTCCCACTGCTGACAAACACAGCCCAATCAGACCCCGTTCTCCCACTGCAGACAAACACAGCCCAGTCAGACCCCGTTCTCCCACTGCAGACAAACACAGCCCAGTCAGACCCCGTTCTCCCACTGCAGACAAACACAGCCCAGTCAGACCCCGTTCTCCCACTGCAGACAAACACAGCCCAGTCAGACCCCGTTCTCCCACTGCAGACAAACACAGCCCAGTCAGACCCCGTTCTCCCACTGTGGACAGACACAGCCCAGTCAGACCCCGTTCTCCCACTGTGGACAGACACAGCCCAGTCAGACCCCGTTCTCCCACTGCAGACAGACACACGGGCCCAGTCAGACCCCGTTCTCCCACTGCTGACAAACACACGGGCCCAGTCAGACCCCGTTCTCCCACTGCAGACAAACACAGCCCAGTCAGACCCCGTTCTCCCACTGCAGACAAACACAGCCCAGTCAGACCCCGTTCTCCCACTGCTGACAAACACACAGCCCAGTCAGGCCCCGTTCTCCCACTCCCACATTCCATGGCACGTAAACTTTGGCTGAAAAGAAACCGAAACCAAACTCACGAGCAAAAACTGTGTTAGCGCAATATTTCACTAGATTATACTCAGCATGAATAACTTGTCCCTGCAGCATCCAAAATTGTATTTTGACTTGGGTGTCAGAAGGGAAATTACTCTCCAAAAAGGGGATTAAAGTGGAAAATTGCCAGACGTCAGCTAAGGCTGAAAAAGGCGGAAAAGGGATCAAAGGCATACATGTATGTTCAAGTGTGGTAACGTGCGATGAAAAACGACCTTTCATGCAAATGTTTGGTTTTTGGTAAAATTGGGAGTGGAAAATTGCGCTTAGAAAGACAGGAGTACAAAATGATTTTCATTTGAATGTTAGTTTCTAAACCAAATCAACACATTTTGGGACACTGCGTCCGAGACGTACTTTACGACAATACCGACAAAAAGCAGATATCACTTACTTGATGGCCTGTTCGCGCTGGGCCTTGCGCACCTCGGGCTTCATGTTCCTCTTGGCCATGATATCGGAGAGGGAGGCGCCGACGATGGCGCGCTGGAACTTGTGCGTGCGCCGCGCGCGTTTCTTCACCATCTCTTCATCCTGACCCTTCTTGTTCTTGCGCCTGAAACGAGCCAGTCATTGGCACTCTGTCAGACTTACAGTGAATGGTCCTCTAAAAATGTGACATAATGAAAACTTCCTAAAATATTGAGAAAAATGCAGCTGATAGCCCTTCCTCTAGCAGTGCTTACTTACACTGCTTACTTGCTTGCTTACAGCAGACTGGTCTTACCTTGGCATGGCTACTAACAAGGAGTACACAGGTTGATATACAGTACCACTGAACTGTTTGTGCATCACTATCATAATGTAACTTTGGGATCTAAATTCAGCTGAAGACTACAAATTATTAGAGTATGAGGGTAGGCGCCATCACAACAATCCCTGCTTTAGCAGAGGCCCTGTCCTTTGAATCCTTCAATTCAAACTGGTTGGACTGACTTTATAAAAAAGACAATAAAATGATATTGTTATGTCACCCAGATTCAAATAGAGCAACACTCAGTACACCACCTTTCTCATGTCTTAATAGTAACAGATTCTGCACTGTATTCTTACTTTATTTTTGGATGCTTGATGCTTCTACATTTAGAATCTGGTCTCCCATCAACAAGGAAAGCCTCAGAGCTCAGCAGCCCATAGCACAGCATATTTGGCTAGAAAATCTCTCCACTGCCAAGATGAATGAGCCACAGGAAACAAATGACACCTACCTGTAGAGGATGGTCCAGGTAACCTCACGGGGGTTCCTCTTCATGTTGAAGGACCTCTCAGCCTTCTTGTGGATGAAGGTATAGGCCTGCAAACACAAGAAACTTAAATGAGTCAACCATGGGCGTAGGAACGGCTGGAACATTGTGGGTGCATGGGTGCAGAAATCCAGCCATGGCCGGTGAAGCGGGGGGGGGGGGGGGGGCGACACCCGAGCGAAGGCTCGTTACGAGCTTTGAGGGTGTACCATGTCGAAAAGGTACCAACCGATAAGTGCATTTGGAAGCATTGACCCTCGCATGTGTAGGGGGGTCGGATGAACCCCCCCCCCCCCCATGGTTGTTCGCAAATAACTCGCGCAAAAAGCGGCCGATCGCGACGAAACTTTTAGTACCCTCGAGTTGATCAGTTTTACACCTACTCTAAAAATTTCATGACCCTGACCCAAAAGACCCTTGACCTGTGACCTGATTCTCAAGACCATGTTCGGCCGGAATCGCGATTTGGCGTATGTCAGCTCACATTATCCGCGCGTTTCCAGTCTTTTTGTGATTGCAGACGTCCAAACATGTGAAATGATGTTCTTCCCATGCATCACGGTGGTTGTGAAGATAACCTGAAGGTCAGGTCAGGTCATTGACCTTTGATGACCATTGACCTCGGTTCACTTTTTCGAGTTTTACATGTTTCTAGCAGGGATGCGGAGCCGGAGCCGGAGTCGGAGCCGGAGCCGCCGGAGCCGGCATATTTTGCCCGGAGCCGGAGCCGGAGCCGGAGCCGTGAAGCAATATCGCCCGGAGCCGGAGCCGGAGCCGGAGCCGCCAAAAAAGGGGGCGACTCCGGCTCCTTTTTATTTTTTGAAGAGGAAAAAAATAATAATTGACCTAGTTCGGTTTGACAGTACAAGGCAGTAAAACATATGGACTGGTAAGTACGTCATGGGCCATCAAGTGAATGAAAAAAGCCGAATATCCCCAGTATCCCACAGTACGCAACCAACTTCCTGTCTGCTCCTCCCCTCCCCCCCCCCCCACGTCTACTGCATCCCCAGAACATGAGGACCGGTCATCAGGTGACGGCCATTGTTTTGAAGCCAGTGCAGTGGACTGCGACTTCCAGCACCGTCTCCCCCCCCCCCCCCACCCCCCAATGCAGCCGAGACGGGTGTCAGCTTGCGATGGTTCAGTGAACTCCGATTCGCGGCGACTGCGTTTCCAATGCCATCGCTTCCGAGTCCTTTGTACTGCCAGTTGTAATACTGCCAGTTCTCTCCAAGGTGCGTTTGCGCGGGGACGCGGTGAGCCGGTCATGGCAAAGAGTAACGCGTATAAACATTTCGTGCCGGATGGTAACGGGTCGTTTACATGCGGTGTTACTGATGACGATGGCGAGTCGTGCGGGAAGGTCGTCAGCGGAAAAAAGGAGGGAAGTGGAAGCACTCGTGCCTACAACATGAAACGCCATTTGAAGCGCTACCATGCAGATGTGTACCAAAGTGTCATGGACGCGGACGCACTGCCAGCGAAGAGCGCAGGCACAAGCCAAGCCACCGAATCCGGAAAAAAAACAGCAGCAATCTCTGGACAGGTCAGTTTTATCGCCCTCTGCTGTATTTATTAGTGTACACCTATTGCGTTTACTACATGCTCGTCGGCAGTGGAGAGGGTGGGTGGAGGGGGGAGGACTATATACGCCAGTTTTTTAGTATAGTTCTCAATTCTCATGTTTACCGGCCGGGATCGCCACGAAATTTTGCAAGCGTTACCATAATTAATTTGATGCCCTCCCCGAAAACTTCAAGACCGTATCCCCATGAAGCGTGACCTGTAAAACTGAAGTGTTGGTCATTCTCACGGCGCATCAATCGGGATTTGCGTACTTAGCGCGCTTCAGTGCCTGCAGCTTGCGTTTGATCGCCGACATGCATTTTGCCAGCTGTTATCAAGCCGAGGTCATGGCATAGGCTGACCTTGTTACCTTTCTAAAGTCATCCGCGGTCAATGACGTCAGATGAAGTCACATGACGCTTTCGAGTTTAAGTGCTGCCTGGGATATTTACTCGCTCATTTCATTTTAAACTACAAATTTTAAGGTTAAGAAATTTTAGCATCCATTTATCGCTAAAAACGAGTTGAATTGTGGCTAACGAGGTCGTAACTCGTAATATGTCCCAAGAGGCGGAAATTAATTATCTCTAACGTCATAAAAGTTGTGATCTGATCAAATACGAAGCTTAGGTTCGAATTGTACGATAGGTAGATATATGTGCTCAACGGACCAAAAGCAAAGCGCTTACCTGGAGCAAAGCGCTTACCTGTGGTGACATGTCATGCATTTTCGGCCCTAAAATGATAAATCGTCGAATGCTAGTGCTTGTTGGGTACTATCGTATTTGGCCTAAAGTACAAAATACTAGATAGCTTTTCCTTTTGTCCTCAGGTACTTCGAGAGCACCAAGGTTGTCATGAACATCACGAAAGATGAGTTCACGAAAGATATAGTAAGCATGGTAGCCAATGATTCAGTTCCTCTTTCATTCTTCTCTTCTTCTGCTGGATTCGGGAACATCGCTGGACCCATTGCCAAAAAGCTGAAGGTCAGCCTGGACAGAGAGGCGGTCCGTGACATGGTCGTCAGCAAGGCCCGACGATTGCAACTCGATATAATTAAAGCGATGAAGAATAAGCCGGTGTTCCTGAAGGTCGATGGAGCCACTAGGCTGGGATCGAGCTATCTGGCCATCAACGTCCAGTACGTCGAAAACAGCAGGTCGACCACCAAAACGCTGGCCGTCGTAGACTGTGCGGGAAAACACTCGGCAGAAGCGACAATGAAGCTGGTGAAAGAAGTGATGGAGAGGTATGAGCTCAGGAAGGACCAGATATTGGCTATTGTAACAGACAATGCCAGGTCAATGCTGAAGACCGTGGAGCTGCTGAATGACGAAGAGCAGGAGAGTGGCGAACACGAGAACATCAATGCAACACAGGAAGAAGATGCTGACGATGATGACGATGACATCCTGGCCTTGGTTGTAGATTCATCTGATCAGTCCGCCAGCGCATCATTGGACAACACTATCTACACGGTGCGGTGCGCCGTTCATACGCTACAACTGGCTATCCGCGATGGTTTGAAGCAACGAGGGGCAAGCACGGTCCTGGCACAGGCACGCAGCGTCGTGAAAAAGCTCCGAGCACCAAACATGCTATCATCCCTAAAAAGCAAGGGTCAGCTGCATCCCATAATTGACGTCGAGACGCGATGGGGTAGCAGCTATCTGATGCTTAAGCGGCTGCTGACCCTGAAAGATGTGGTGCAAGACTATGCCGCGGTAGCGCCCGAACTTCACATGCCAGAAAGGATTTGGCAACAAGTCCAGCAGTTGGCGGACGTTCTAGAGCAGCCCTATGCCGTCACCATTCGTCTGCAGAGCGCCGACCTAACAGCAGGAGTGTTCTTCAAGGAGTGGTGCAGGCTCCGAGAGCTGCTGGAGAAAGGAGGTGCGATCGGTTCTGCCATCGCGGCAAGCATGAAACAACGTGAGGAGAAGATGCTGGAGTCGGATGTTCTGCTCGCTGCCATCTACGCGGACACGCGCTACCGTATTCTTCTGGGCGAAAGGTTCGAGAGGGCCGGACAAGCATTCGAAAACATCGCAGATCGGGTTCAGCAGGTGCATGGAACAGCTCCAGCAGTCGACTCCCCCAACGCAAGCATCACTTCTGAACAGGTACCCCTTTGATTTAATTTACTATTGTTGTTTAACATTTGATGCCCGGCTGTTTTGTGCATACAATACAGGAGTTTTACTTTTATTATTACATAAGACATCGAATATAACTATAAAATGTGTTCAAATGAAAGGAATGTTTGCTTTAGTTTTTACAACTTATCACATCGCATATTGACAGTTCCATCTTAATAGTTCCGCGTATTTTACGAGCCTTTTTTCTGCGCGGTTTAGTCAATAGTCAAAAGTAGAAAAGTAAATGAGCTGGCTGTGGTTATGTTAATTTATTCCATGAAGCCCAGTAAACAGCATTAAATGCCATATGTACCTACATTGTACAGTCGTCAGCACATGCTACCCAGCACCTTCACCGCTGATGTACCTAATCATGTCTAGGATTCTGGGTAGCAAGTGTAAGCGACTGTGTAATGCATACGTACGTACTATTTGCCACTGCAATGAAAAAAAACGTGGCTAACAAACGGTTTGCGTACATTCTCCACAGGAGGATGATCCTTTTGAACGCGAGCTGGATCGGCTGGAACAAGGACACAAAGCGCAAAAAAGAGCATCGACATCCACGATGGAGGTCGCCAAAATGGACTTCCGAAACATGGGGCGCATGAAGGGAGCCACAGTGTGGGACATCATAGAGCACTATCCCGATCCCCTCAAGTCAACCAGCATGGTGATGGCCGCCCTTCCAGCGACGCAGGTATCGGTAGAGAGGCTGTTTTCGGCTATGAAACTGCTGCTCACCGACCTGCGATCGCGTCTGAAGGAGGACATTCTGGAGGCCATGCTTCTCATCCGCTGCAACAGCGAATAAACAGCACACAATGAGGGCGGTCTGTCAGTTCGATCTAGTCAGGCGCATACCTACTATGCGAACGTTGTCACTTACTATCAGCAACTCTGAGTGAGTGCAGGACGAGACGGGTTTCCTGGTTCCGGCCATTAATGCCTCGGGTATTTTTTTTTCTGAGAAGGATACTTAACACATAAGTCATGCTCATAACATTTCGCCACGTGCTTATATACTCTGTTCGCTGATTGCATGTGCTGTTGAGAAAAATAGCCTTAGTTGTTAGTTGTTATGCAAATACAGAAGCAACGTGTACCAATCCAATTTTTCTTCCACCCGTATTTAATTGATTGCATAGGGGATGTACTGAGTCGGAGCCGGAGCCGCCGGAGCCGGAGCCGCCGGAGCCGGACCATTTTACTCGGAGCCGGAGCCGGAGCCGGAGCCGCCATAACATTTCACCCGGAGCCGGAGCCGGAGCCGGAGCCGATTTTTTTCTCCGGAGCCGGAGCCGGAGCCGGAGCCGTCTGAAATTTCCACGGCTCCGCATCCCTGGTTTCTAGGGTAGTTTATAGGGCTGATTTCGAATTTAGCATCCATTTGAACGTTTACGAAGTGGTTTTAGTGCTTTCGTGACATGCTACGACGCCGTCAGTGGTAGTTGACACCTACTATGGATAGCCGGTAGGACGCCTAATGTTGACCTGACCTGACCTGACCCGATCTGGCCTAATTGCATGAAGAAATCATCTGTGATCAAAACTTACATCAGATATTTGTGATCAGCACCCCGAAAAACCCGATGACAGCTTCACTTTACGCAGTCCTAGCAGGTCCCGATTTTCCCGACTTTTGGAAAATTGACCTGACCTGGAAGGTCAACCAATGAAGAAGGACCTTAAAATTGGGTATCATTGGCTTTCTCTCGTCACGGGCAACGCCCTCGTTTTTTCCGCGAAGCTCTAGCTCGATCAGGGGCCGAACGGCAGGGGGTCCGGCCGACCCCCTCCCCCTCCCCCTACACATTAGAAGCTGGAAAACGCTGCACACATTCGAGGGCTAATATTGTCAATATTGACTACCGCAAAAAGTAAAAGCGGCCAACTTAGCCATTTTCGAAGATATCGGGCTAAAGTTTTTGACAGTGGGTCATCGGTTCGGTATGTGTTCAATCACATGCTCCATTTCCCTTTTTTCAGCACAAATGTAAGTTTTGAAGACCATCACTGATCACAGTAGCATATGCTTCGAAAGATGGATAGTAGGCAACATATCCTGAATTTGCCGTGCTGCATGGGAAGTAGTGTTGATGAAAAAGGGGTTTTTGGTTCAGATTATTGTGGGTGCAGAATACATTGTCTGCACCCACTGGATAAATATTGTGGGTGCAGCTGCACCCTTGCACCCATGGTTCCTACGCTTATGGAGTCAACAACTTACTGATCAATATCAATATTGATTATTGACCAACAAAATATTTAAACACACATAGCTTTTATTCATAAGGGATTTGGCTCCAAGTGGCTTTTTGACTGCATGTGTTTTTGCCAGCAAAATCAGAAAAACTGAGCCTGAGAAAATTGAATGTCACCAAAGTTAAACGTGAATTATTCCAGATAAATTCCATTAGTGCGTTTTGGAACTCGATATCAGAATAGAGGTGATGCAATCCTGTCAAACTTGCTGTGTGTGTAGCAGGCGTGGGGGTCAGTCGGGGAAACTATGGTAAAATCTGCTATTTTTAGCAGAAATCTGCTAAAAATGGGTACGCATGTGACGTCATCGTACCCAAATATAGCAGATTTGGGTACGGCCCCATACAAAAGCAGATCTGCACCCTAATTGAAGCAAATGCGCATCAAATGCCTGGCAGATTCATGATGAGAATAGTGCTGAGAGTGATCTCTGCTATTTTTGTTCAGATCAAACTATTTTCAAATTCATTATTTGAAAATAGTCGGATCAGAACAAAAATATCAGAGGACATTCTCAGCACTATTCTAATCATGAATCTGCCAGGCATTTGATGCGCATTTGCTTCAATTAGGGTGCAGATCTGCTTTTGTATGGGGCCGTACCCAAATCTGCTATATTTGGGTACGATGACGTCACATGCGTACCCATTTTTAGCAGATTTCTGCTAAAAATAGCAGACTGCTAAAAATAGCAGATTTTACGGTATTAGTATATATTAGGTCCGAGTGGACAATTGTGACACTGTTGATACAAATATGTAACAGCAAAAATTTTAGGTTTTAGGTTAGGTTAGGTTAGGTTGTAGGTTTGTAGGTTTGTAGGTTTGTAGGTTAGGTTAGGTTAGGTTGTAGGTTTGTAGGTTGTAGGTTTGTAGGTTGTAGGTTGTAGGTTTGTAGGTTGTAGGTTGGTAGGTTGTAGGTAAGTAGGTAAGGTTAGGTCAGGTTTGATTATGTTTTTCTTTTATTTCCAGGACATATAAGTATCATTTTTGGATTCAGGATGTCAAATAATGTAAGAATATGAAAACTTTATCTATTAACAGTCACTCGGACTTAATGTATACTTTTACCGATTTTACCATAGTTTCCCCGACTGGGGTAAGGGATGGGTAGGCAGTTCTGACGTCACGGCTGCGTGCGGTATACACAGTCCCCTACAACACCTTCATGTGACATCTGCTCTACTAATGCCCAAATAAATGCACACCAAAATTAATACAAATAAGTTCTCATATTCACAATCAGCCAACTTCGTTCGGGATGAAATTTACAAGATCCTTGCAAAGGCACTCACCTTGCCATCGGCCTTAACGGCCGTTTTCCCATGGCCTGGGTAGATCTTGAAACCGCTGAATATGCAGAGACCGACCCTGAAAATAAAGTTGTATTAAAAACGCGACCTTAGGTGATATTTCAAACAAGCACATAGAAACAACCAAAGAATTATTACAATAATGCACATATATGCCCACCTCATTCTTGCTGTTTAGACGGAAAAGACAGTATCCGCGGCGTTGCCAATTTAATAAAAAAAATCACAACACCTTAGCTATTAAAAACGCTGAACCATTGTTCTATCAATGAACAAAAAATAAATTTATTTCATATTTTATCCCTTCATTTTTAAAGAAAAAGTAAACAAATAAAAAAACTCAAATTAGAGCGACCACTTTTTGATAAGTACAATCACGGTTACCCTGCATTCACCGTGCATTCACCCATACTGCTGCCAGCTGCGGGATACCTGCTTATGTCGAGACTGGCATATGTTGCTGTTGCATTTACGAAGGCGTTGCCAAAGATTTTTGATTTAGGGGGAAAATCATATTTAGTGTGTATTTCTACTCTAAGCTCAAATCAAATCTACTCGTTTGACGTTTCATATAGGTCATCCAACATGTTTAGCTCCGCAGTCCGCTGCCTGTACCTACTTAAGCTCCGGCTAAAGTACTGGCAAAGTCTGTGGCTCTACTGGAGCTGAGCCTGACACACGATCCTGGAGCTCACCCGCACCACAGCCGGACTAATGCCGCATCAGCCGACAGCCGTGCCATACCTCAACCGTACCTACCTACCTGCAGCCACAGTACGCCATAGCAGCTACGAGACAGCCGGACCTGGCCGTAGGGAGCCGGACTTGAGCCAGACTTGGCGGTCCGAAACCATACCAACTCAGGAGCGCTACGGCAAAGGCTGGCTAACCGGAATATAGAGCCATATCGACCCCAACCCCGGCTCTGGCCGTCTGACGGCGTTCCATTTACACCGGCCCAAGTCTCGCATGTCGTAGTTGCCGGGGCAAAATGGACTTAGCCAAGCCAAATTGCTGGCTGCGCCACCACACCCTTAGTGACCGGTGTGGTGTCGGTGTAGCTAGTCGTGCCGTCTTCCGAGCGACGAGTTTCTTCGTGCCATCTGTTGGCCGCCGTTGAATCTCTATTGTCAGTGCACTGCCGCTACCAGCTGTCTGCGGGTAATGCGGCGGTGGCGCTGTGCCTCCGCCGCCGGTCGACGAGCGGACCGGCTCACGATGATAACTGATAAGTCCACTGTCGCTGAGCTATGGACCTCTTTCCTTACAATCACACCGTTCCGTGCTTCTATCCTCAGGATACTGAAATCCTTCTCCCCAACACCGCAACCCCCCTCCGGGCTGGACAGGCAACTTTATCTCATGCGGGCTGCTCCCTTGGAGCGGCACCGCTGCTCCCGAGGGAGCTGCACCCCGTAGCCGGGTGCAGAGAGTGCTTGGGGGGCTGGTCGGCCTGTCCATTGGACGGGCTCAGCCCCGGCGACTCTCTAGGGTGCCTGCCCAGACCAATGTCTCCCCCTAATTCCTATCATCCTTCCGGCCCTGCAATGGTCTTGTCGACCGAAAGGGCCTAACCCAACAAAACAACAAAACAAAACAAGAGGATCACTGGCGCTGGGATAATTCAGACGTGTTTGCTAGGTATTCTTCCTATCCCTGACGCTCTAAATGGATGCTTAGCTTAGAGCAAAATGGATGCCAGATTCGTAACTAGCGTAGCGACTACGAATTCAATATTCATCATATAACACCTTTCATGTGTCTAGGTCAAGCAAGGTGATTCGAGGTCATGAGGTCAGCATAACAAGACTCCACCCTCCGGCACGTGTAGGGGGAGCGGTAGGGGAGGAGGGTCGGATGGACCTATGTTTTAGGGCCTTGGATGGACCAAAAGTTCGCGAATAACCCGCGAGTTGCTGGGGGGGGGGCGTTAAATGCCCCCCCTTTTTTCGCCGGGCCATAGCATAAAAACGGCGCGCCGCAGGCGCGCCAAATTCTGGGTACCTACCTGTAGGAAATTGATTGAAGTTTACCTATTGTGACAAAGTTTCAAAAAAAAAAAACAGTCGGAAAATTTTTGAGATATCGAGGTTTTAGTGACGTCATGATTTCTGAATTTTCGACCAAAAACGGCATATGTTCAAAAAATCTATAAAATCACAGAATAGGCATACGGACATGCCGTAAACGCCATTAGACTGCCAATACCATGAACAATCAAATGGCTATCTTCGATTATTGATTATCATTCCGAATTTTCCAAAATCTTGAACTGAATCGTTGGCAATTTTTCGTGACTACTTCACGACATGATACATGCATTTCTTAAATTGAATTTTATGAGCCAAACACGTACACATATGATAAAATGAATGTCACCATCGTGTTCTACGCCCCATATTACCCATAAAACATGTGTCACAGGCTGCGAATATCAGTTTTGATTTTCGGGGATATGTGCCTACCCGGTTGACCTGACCTTGACCCTGACCTATGCTTGACTGACCCCTACATGGAGCTGACACTCTTGTAGGCCTTATATGATGGATTGCGCACCGTTTTGACAGAGTTACTGACGAGAGGCGCCTATTGCGAAGTCCTGAAGTCCATGCTACTGAAAGCCCGATTTCAGGTGTTTGAACTGACCTTGACCCGACCTGTGACCTCAAAATTCAACTTAAAAATACTCATCTGAAGCGTCTCGTCGCGTTCTTTCGTTTGTCGCCTCGTGCGTTTCGCTGCGCCTATTGGTTCTCGAGTTATCGGCTGGGGGCGTTTAACGCCTCCCCCTCCCCCAGCAAACGGTGGGTGGCCAAATACCCCAGCAACTGCCGGGATAACTCGCGCAAAAAGCGGCCGATCGCAACGTATATTATATATATCATAGACCTCTGTATACAGAGGTCTATGTATATATATATATATATATATATATATATATATATATATATATATATATATATATATATATATATATATATATATATATATATATATATATATATATATATATATATATATATATATATATATATATATATATATATATATATATATACGTGGGGGACATCAGAACAAGGCCATATATAGACATCAGAAACATGAGTTGGGACCCTCAGGACCGTCACGTTCATTCAACGTCACGCTTTTTGCTCAGTGACATCAGGAACGCTCCATATAGGAAAACAACAAAACTTTATGACGTCAATGTGACGTCATCTTCAACGTTTCAACCGCTCATGAACGTACTTTAAATATGGCCTATAAGTATTCATTTAAAGCTGCTAAAGTTTCAAGTTCATATCTTATCAGGTTATGGAAATATATCACACAAAATGTAAGGGGGGGCAGCTTTATGCCCATTCCCCAGTGGCTCGTGGGAAATGCAGTCTCATAAGTCATACATTCAATCATTTGTATATTTATCACTTTCTAATCCGTGTTCCCTACTTACATGCCCCAAAACCGTCCATAGGTATACTGAGCAAATACACACAAATGAAAGAGTTCGTGACCCTGCATTGAAAAAAAATATAACGTCATATATTGGCTGCAATGTCAAGTCTGTTGACACTGTGATAGTACCTAATTATTTACAGCTGCGGGCGCACGAAGAGAAACGTGCTTTGCCAAAATTTGTTTTCAGACTTAAAAGCTTCTATGCCAGCCCAAGCTCACGGCACATGACATTGCGCATGACAAACTTCTGAATCTTCCCTGTCACCGTCTTGGGGAAATCGTCCCTGAACTGGATATAGCGCGGGACCTTGTAGTGTGCGATCCTGCCCTTGCAGAAGCTCCTGACGTCGTGCTCGGAGAGACAGCCGAGCTCTCTGGTTCTGACCCAGACCACCAGCTCCTCGCCCATCCTGTCATCAGGCACGCCGAACGCGTAGGCCTCCAGAATGTCCGGGTGGGTCATCAGGAAGTCCTCCACCTCCGTGGGGTAGATGTTTTCCCCACCGCGGATCACCATGTCCTTGGCACGCCCCACGATCTTGACGTAGCCATCCTCGGTCATGGTTGCCACGTCGCCGGTGTGGAACCAGCCGGCGGCGCTCACACACTCGCGCGTCTTCGCCTCGTCGTCCCAGTAGCCGAGGAAGCGGTTGTAGCCGCGCATGCAGAGCTCGCCGGAGTGGCCGACCGGCAGCGTCCTGCCGTCGCCGCCCACCACCTTCACCTCGGAGTGGTCCAGCGGGAAGCCGACGGTGCCGCAGCGGTGCTCCAGGTCGTCCGACGGGAAGCCGACTGTCAGCAGCGGGCTGGTCTCGGTCAGACCATAGCCGACCACCGCGTCACGCATGTTCATGTCCTCGATCATGGAGCGCATCAGGTGGAAGGGCACCGGCGCGCCGGCCACGATGCCCGAGTACAGCGAGCTGAGGTCGTGGCGCTTCTGCTTGGCGATGTTCACCATGTCCACATACATCGTGGGAGTGCCGTACATGTGGGTGCACCGCTCGTCCTCTGTGGCCCGCATGGAGGCCTCGCCGTCAAACGCCTCCGACGGGAAGACCAGGCAGTTGCCGTGCAGCGGGGCCAGCACGGAGCCGGCCACGCAGCCGAAACAGTGGTAGAGAGGCACCGACACACAGATCCGCACCCCGTCCCGCTCGTAACCTGCCCGGCGCGCCAGCTGGTGCATGTTGTTCACCATGTTGTGGTGCGACAGCGTGGCGCCCTTGGGCAGGCCCGTGGTGCCCGAGGTGAACTGGATGCTGCACGGGTCGTCACAGTCGACCTGCGCCTGGCGCCGCTCCAGCTCGCCGGAGAGCGACTCCATGCCGGCGTCGAGCAGGTCGTCGAAGCGCAGCACGCCGCGCCGCCGCTCGGGGCTGATCATGACGATGTCGCGCAGCTGGGGCAGCCGCTCGGAGCGGACCGTCAGCGGCACGCCGGCCTCTCCGTCCGCCAGCGCCGGCACCAGCTCCGTCAGCATCGTGTAGTAGTCGGACGTCCGGTAGCCGGCGGCGGCCACCAGCGTCCGGACGCCCCCTTCCGCAGACAGTACTCCAGCTCGCGACTCTGGTACGCCTGGTTCACGTTCACCAGCACCAGGCCCGCCTTGGCCGCGGCGTACTGCGTCAGCTGCCACTCGTATATGTTGGTCGCCCAGATGCCGATCCGGTCCCCTTCTCCAGTCCGAGCGAGAGGAAGCCCCTGGCCAGCCGGTCGGCCTCCTGCCGGACCTCGAGCCGTCCTGCGGATGT